GCACTGTCTATACCGTAGGTATTTATGCTGTTAATGTTAATAGGATTACCATGATTGTATACAGAGCCCTGACTGTGACAAAGAAGGAATCAAAAAGCTCTTCAATAAGACATTGGCGTGAAATATATACACAAATATCTCAGGTTCATAATTATCTTCTTGCCTCTTTGTATTCATGTTGCTGATGAGGTTAGTCAATCTTGAGAAGGCTCTAACAAAGGTCAGAATGGCAACACATCTTATTATACCATTTCCTTGTTCTGTTTCGCGGCCTTTGTAAACTTGGTGGTCAATCAAGAAGTCCTAATGAGAGATTTTAGGTTTGAAGATGGTAGAGGATCTATTGGAATGCATAGTTCATGGAGAGTGAAAAATCTGGGCAGTTGCTGAGTTGTTATAAAAGCCAGAGGGAATCTATTCACGAAAGATCGCATCTCTAAGGTGTGAGTACACTAGTATGCTCTGAGCAAAAGCTTATTTACCATAGAATGTAATATGGTATACTTCTTTAATATTTACTCCTATTAGATTGTATTCTAGTAGAATCAATGCTCAAAGGCGGGCTGTATACACTGTTTGATATACCAGGCATCTCCGTTGCGATTACTTAGCAAAATTAGTTGGCAGAAAAGATTATTTAAGCTGCGTACTCTGTACCACGGGTTCTCGATACTAGTAATCTAACCACCAGTTTGCGACGAATTAACCGTCCCGCATCACTGAAAAGTCTTGAGAAAACTCTAGTAATACCTGACGCCGAGTTTGACGCGGTACCACGGCTAGGTCCTAATTGCCGCTGCTCGGAATCTTGCGCTTTATTGATCTTGCTCTATTGTGCGCTCAAAGTCATGGAGGCGGAAATCCAGAAGCGGATTCCCGGAATTGATCATGTGATATCTGAATACTCAGTGGTAAGGACCCTCCCGCTAGGTATCTTAATCCTTGAAACATGTATTTCTATGTGCTGGAGTGTGCCAAAAGGCCTTCTCCGGGCTCGTTTTATATGATCCCTGCTGATCTCTACCACAGGGTTACCTGACCCATGCATCTAAAACTTATGTCGAGGACTCTGATCCAAATGCACCGTCGCCCTTGTCAGAAGCTGCGGAAGCAATCTCGGCACTGCTTGTATCTGCCTCAGGGGACTTCAGCCCTAAAAATGAAGAGGAAATCCAGAATCTGATCAAGAAATTTGTCTCGACTCTCAGAGCTGCAAATGGCGTCGATGCCAAATCCCATGTGCCCTTTGCGGCCAAGAAGCTCGACCAGACCATACATGTCGGTTCGCAGCGCAATATGTCATCGACCCTAGGCTTGGCTGGGGCTTCAGTTGACCTGGAATCTGCCAATACGCGGAAGGTGGAATCCCGCGTCGACAAGAAGAAGCTAGAAAAGGCAGAGGCCAAGATCCGCGCGAAGCAGGCGAGGAAAGTGATGAAGACCGTTGAGTACGAGGCGTCACGCTTGCTCAAAGAGCCCGAGTCCACGCAGTCCTATGAGGAGTTCTACATGGCAGTCAACCCCTTACAACTGGGCGGGGATGCGTCGAAGAGCAAGGATGTTAAGGTCGACAGCTTCGATGTTGCAATCTCTGGCAAGCGGATTTTAACAGATGCGTCGTTGACCTTGGCATATGGGAGGCGCTACGGTTTGGTTGGCCAGAACGGTATTGGAAAGAGTACTCTGCTTCGTGCGCTGAGTCGGCGAGAAGTGCCTATTCCCACGCATATTTCCATTCTTCACGTAGAACAAGAGGTATTTAGGTCTTTCGATGTGGATTACTTGTAGTTCGAATATGGCTGACTGCTCGTTTTGCAGATTGCTGGTGACGACACTCCGGCATTGCAAGCTGTTCTGGATGCCGATGTTTGGCGGAAACACCTTCTTAAGGAGCAAGACGTTTGTTTCACTCCACTGATATTCTCCAAAGACTGTCTTGAAAGGTGCGTGGCTAACTGCTTCGTGTAGAAAATCTCGGCTGAGCTTGCATCCATCGAGCAAGAGCGTTCGTCCATGGCGGATACTTCGAAAGACGCTATACGCCTTGACAAGGATAGGGACGCGCTCGACATCACGTTAAGTGATATTCAAGGCAAACTAGCAGAAATGGAGTCAGATAAGGCAGAGCCTCGCGCCGCAAGCATCCTTGCCGGGTTGGGCTTCTCCCCAGAGCGGCAGCAGTTTGCCACAAAGACCTTCTCTGGGGGCTGGCGTATGCGTCTTGCTTTAGCCCGTGCTCTATTTTGCGAGCCTGATCTATTATTGCTCGACGGTTCGTTTTGCTTCCACTCGGGCTCCCGTCCAAACCCCTTTTACCGATTACGTATGTACGGCTCTCGCTAATTCAATTCTGGACTACAGAGCCGTCTAACATGTTGGACGTGCCGTCCATTACATTCTTGTCAAACTATCTCCAGACGTATCCAAGCACGGTCTTAGTTGTTTCTCACGATCGATCATTCCTCAATGAGGTTGCAACTGATATTATCCACCAACATGCTGAGCGATTGGACTATTATAGAGGTGCTAATTTCGGTATGTTTTCTCTGCTCAGTAGTTTTGATAATGGAGATAGATGTAGGAAGTAAAATTCTGACCGCTTTTGCAGAATCCTTTTACGCAACCAAGGAAGAGCGAAGAAAGACTGCCAAAAAGGAATACGAAAATCAAATGGCTCAAAGAGCTCATTTGCAAGGTGCGTATGGTATATACGTATACCCAACCGAACAGCTATTAACTGTGCACAGCTTTCATTGATAAATTCCGCTACAACGCCGCGAAATCCTCCGAAGCGCAATCAAGAATCAAGAAACTCGAGCGCATGCCGGTTCTGCAACCGCCTGAGAACGAATACGTCGTCCACTTCAGTTTCCCAGAGGTCGAGAAACTATCTCCACCCATCGTGCAGATGTCAGAAGTCTGCTTCGGTTACACAAAGGACAAACCTCTTCTAAAGAACGTCGACTTGGATGTACAGCTCGATTCACGGATTGGCATTGTTGGGCCCAACGGAGCTGGCAAAACCACTGTGTTGAAACTGCTCATTGGCCAACTACAACCCACGTCAGGACTCATATCTCAGCACCCTAGACTCCGGATTGGGTTCTTCGCGCAGCATCATGTGGATGCACTGGACATGAATACCAGCGCTGTCGGATTCATGGCAAAAAATTACCCGGGACGGACAGACGAAGAATACCGGCGACATCTAGGAGCGTATGAAACCTCGGTTTTCTTTTTCATTCAATTCCATACATACGCACGCCCTCCGTTTTAAAGCTGAAGCTAACTATGTTTGATTTTCTGACGAAATAACTGTAGTTTCGGCATCACCGGCATGACGGGCCTTCAAAAGCTTGAACTCCTATCCGGCGGCCAAAAGTCCCGCGTTGCCTTTGCGTGCCTCTCGCTAACGAACCCGCACATCCTCGTTCTCGACGAGCCGTCCAACCATCTCGACATCGAGGCGATGGATGCGCTGTCCGACGCATTGAAGAAATTCCAGGGCGGCGTGCTGATGGTCTCGCACGACGTGACGATGTTGCAGAATGTGTGCACAAGCTTGTGGGTCTGCGATCATGGGACGGTGGAGAAGTTCCCTGGCGATGTCAAGGCGTATAAGAAGAGGATCACAGAACAAGCCAATGCGGCGGGAGTGGTTGCTGCGCATTAGACATTAGACGATGTTACTTAGCACTCCCCTTTGCGTGTAGATGGCGAAAAGGGCGAGGACAACCTTGGGTCTTGGTACGATTTAGCCACGTTCAGAGGTACTAGTACGTATTATTTTATTACCTGTCCCCATCGTATCAAGACGGTATTGCCGTATCGTGATGTCTCAGCCAATCGAAGCCGACTTCGCTCCAGCCTTCTTCGGCTTCCCAGCAGCAATTCCAAGGTTCCATCCTCCATATATTCCATGGATATCGTACCCGCTGTAGAGAAAGCAACGTGAGTCCCGCCAGCTCCATCATGCCACGCGCCATATGCAATCCTTTCACTCGCCGCACGAAATAGCAGATACCGCTGTGGCAGACACCCACGAGGATTATGAGCTGCAAGAGATGAGTTCGGCTGATGCCACTAACCCTGAAGCTCCAATGCTCGCTCCTCGCGATGCAGCTCCTCGCTCTCCGCCACCCAGATACTCAGACCACCAGTTTGGGAATGATGCCGCCAGCAATGATGGTGATGGTGGGCGGTCGCTGGGACAGGCACCAGCAGCTGCACCCGCAGAGTCGGGAGGCTGGTTTATATGGACACTAACATGTTCAGCGGGGATTAGTGGTTTGCTTTTCGGATATGAGTAAGATCGCGGTCTTCCCTCCTCTTTTTTGTTGCTGTACAGATATTCCATGGACGGAAGACAGTGTAAGCAAGGACTGACTCTCTATTGCTAACCATGTGCGGCTTCATCGCGGAACAGTACTGGTGTTATTTCATCCACTCTGGTTTCGATTCGAACGGACCTTTCAGGCCACCATCTCACCACCCTCGACAAGAGTCTGATCACATCCTGCACCAGTCTATTCGCCCTAATAGCAAGCCCATTCGCGGGTATTTTGGGGGATAAACTTGGCCGTAGACCCATCATACTCATCGCGGATGCCTTGTTCATCGTCGGAGCGTTGTGGCAGGCCGCATCCTCGACCGTCTGGAGCATGATATTAGGCCGGAGCCTTGGTTGGATTGGGGGTTGGAGCAGCTAGTCTGATTACTCCTTTGTACGTCTTAAAATGCGGAAGAGATCTCGTGCTATACTCTCCGTTGCTGGTTTACGGAAACAGATCATTTACGGCAATACAGAGAAATTCGCAGAAGCTAATGAGACGTTGCGCAACAGGTACATATCAGAACTATCACCACCTGATATCCGCGGGAGATTGGTAACCATCCTAAGCCTCTTCGTCACTGGTGGCCAGGTAGTCGCCTACACCATCGGCTGGCTCTTCTCAACCACCCACGCGGGATGGCGGTGGATGGTCGGCCTCGGAGCCCTCCCTGGAATAATCCAGCTTTCCATCCTGCTCTTACTCCCCGAAACCCCGCGCTGGCTTGTCCGTGCGGAGAGACAACCCGAAGCCCGTCGAGTCATCCACAAAATATACGGTGCCTCTAGCCCCCGAATGCCGGAACAACTCGTCCGGGACATCGAGCGCGAGCTCGTCGCGGAGGAGAATGCCGTGGACGAGCTCCTCAAACCCATTGATCAAGAAACATCCGACCACCACTGGTTCCGTCTCCCCCGTGGCTGGGCCGCTCTATTTCAAATCGACGGCAACCGCCGCGCCTTGGCCATCGCCTGCATGCTCCAAGCGCTCCAGCAACTCTGCGGCTTCAACTCACTCATGTATTTCAGCGCAACCATCTTCTCACTCCTAGCATTCTCCTCGCCGACCCTAACCTCCCTCTCCGTCGCCGTGACAAACTTCCTCTTCACCCTCCTCGCCTTCTCGCTCATCGACCGCATCGGCCGCCGCCGCATCCTCCTCTCCTCTGTACCCATCATGACCGCAGCCTTGCTCCTCTGCGCCGTCGCCTTCTCAGTCTTCGATCCCCCAACAAACGGCGACGACCCGTCACCGCCGCCACAGGAACCGGGCGGAGGATCAGCTTCGGCGCTCGCCCCTCTCGCGCCTCTCCTTATCCTCACTTCCCTCACAATCTACACCGCTGCCTACGCCTCCGGCATCGGCACGATACCCTGGCAGCAATCCGAGCTATTTCCTTTAGGAGTGCGCTCGCTCGGCTCAGCGCTTGCCACGGGGACGAACTGGGGGTCTAATTTTGTTGTCGGGCTCTCGTTCCTGCCGATGATGGATTGGATATCTCCAGTGTGGACGTTTGTGATGTATGCGGTTATTTGCGGGGCCGGGTGGGGGTTGACTTGGGCGATATATCCGGAGATGAGTGGACTGGGGTTGGAAGAGGTCAGGGGGTTGCTTGTGGCTGGATGGGGCGTTAGGGAGAGTGTAGAGGGATTTAAGAGGAGGAGGGGGGAGGGTCTGTAGATCTGTTAGTTATTCGTTGCAACATCGTTTCATTCTTCCTCTTAGATACAATTTTTCAATTTTTCAATTTCCTTTTTCCCTTCCCAGGTTAACCGAGGACATAAATTCTCACGGTCATAGTAAACGGGGTTTGTACTGGTATGGCCCTTATAATATATCAATCAACTGGGTGGAGCCAAAGTTTAAACTACTAGTCCTATCCTCCGAAACAAGGCCAGAGAATCATCGTGATATATACCACTAAACACTGCCATAGGATAGTATCGTGGCAATGTTATGTATGGATGGATCTCATGATAAGTACTGATTCCAGGTTGCTCGTGGGCTGTCACCAGAGAGTTGGAGTTATGTAGCTCTTTGAATTCTATACTTCTATTAGTTAGTCAGTAACTACCCCTTGAACCTTTTTATCCAAAGATCAACTACAGAATACAAGATCTACAGATATATCTTTTTGCATTTTGTTCTTTTTCTTGTCTTTTCTTTTCTTTTCTTTTTCTCTGCTTTTGTTTATTTTTCTGAGCCACCTACGCTAGTCCATAACGGGACGTACACTGCCATAGCTGACTCAGCCATGCCAAGGCGCGAATTCGGTTGGATTTTAAGTCCTTTGTGGAGATCATCCAGTTACATTTTTTTTTACGTGCGCTGCGTATGTATATATGTATATATATATAGATATAGCCATATAGCCATATAGTGGCTCTACCAGTAGGCGTAGTTCGTGCGGTGATAGCAACCGCCCGAGAATAATGCCAGACGTGGGTGCATGTAGATGCAGATGCACGCTGCTGCTTCTGGTGCTGTTGCTGTGTGGTGGCAGCGGGTTGAAAGGTGGAGGAATCAGCAATTGAGCCAGCGTTGTGTCCTTGTGTCCCTGCAGGAACCGCGAGCAAAATCTCTGGCGTCGAGGACGGTGGAGTAAATCTGATTCATAATACTTGCCACCCCATACACGGACTAAGTTCTGCTTCTTCTGCTTCTTCTGCTTCTTCTGCTTCTTCTGCCTCTTCTGCCTCTCCCTCGCAGGAGTCCCCCATGTCGTGTCTGTCGCTAGCTGCATCCACTGGCATTGCACCGAGTCAATCCGTGCATCGCAGCTAGTGCGCGCCCAACCGTCGGCGCCGCCGCCGTCGTCGTTCGCTTGTCTCTCCTCAGCCCACTTTCGTCTCAGCCCAAGCCGCCACCAACACGAGCCCTGCTGTCTTGCACCCATTACGCCTCCATTACGCCTCCATTACGCCTCCAGTACGCCTCCAGTACGCCTCCATTACGTCTCCAGTACGCCCCAGTTCGCCGCATTTCACCGCATTTCACCGCATTCTCCCCCCCATCCCTCGCCGCCCGTGACCATACCGTACCGTACGCCGGCTCGTCGGTGTGTTTGCTTCGTTCCTCCTTTTGATTCTCCCGCGGTCTCGTCTTCATTCCTCCGTCTTCGTCCTCCATCCTCACCTCCATCCTCACCTCCATCCTCACCTCCATCCTCACCTCCATCCTCATCCCTCTCCGTCTTCCATCGCCTTCCCGTCCATTCCCGCCTTAGGATGGTTCCATTCTAGCTTGACTACCGCCTCTGTTCATCCAGCCCCTGTTGAGGTTGAGTCACCGACACTGGCCAACTGCCAAATACCTCTCTGCCTTCGACGAGATCTCCATCTGGGCGCCCATCTCCCAATCGTTTCCTTTTCCTTCTCCTCCTCCTCCTCCTCCTCCTCCTCCCTCCCTCCCTGCCTCCACGCAGCGAGCGACTCACTGGATCCAACAAGACGCCCCTGCCGCCCGCTCCCTTCATCCTCCGCTTTCTTCCCATCGCTCGACCGAGAGACACACATTGCCCGCAAGTCGCTCGTCTTCCCCAAATATATCCAATATATAGATATATAATATATAACATATAATATATACCGTATAAATGCACCTCCCTGAACCGAGACATTATTATCAACCCTCAGATCTGGCTTAGACGGAACCTGATGCCTCGCTGTCAGCCCCTGTTGTCTCGCTCTGCAAACCAACCACCCGCTGTGTCCATATTTTATCTTTCTCATTAGCCGCTGCCACCCTCTAATTGCTTTCTTTTTCTTTTCCTTTTTCCCTTTTTTTATTTTCGAAGATCGTATCTCACATATATTTACTCTCATATATATATATATATATATACGCCCGCAAACATCCAAAAAAACACACCTGGTCGGATGCCGCTTCGGGGATAGATAGGCCTTTCTGCCGATCTGTTTGTCGGTTCCTTTGTGGCCCCTTTCTGGGCTTTCGACTTCGTTCCTCTTTTTGCTTTGAAATACCCATCAAACAAATAACGGCCATTGATTGTCGTTGCGCCAAACCGGCCAATAATCGGGCTCTCATTTGAAACGCCGATATAGAAGGAAAAGCAAGACTCGGCATAACAGTCGCCAACTCTTGCACTTATATCTGTCTGCGTTTTTGAGATACATTAAAAAAAAAAAAAAAAAAAAAAAAAAAAAAGAAAATACCACTCGCGAATATGGCCTCCAGCCAGAATACGCCAGGTATGCCAGCTGTACAATGAGCATATATTCTATTGTTTTTATGCCCATTTTTCCCTTTTGCAACGCATTAATCTACTGACCTGCACCTGCTAATCTTACATATAGTACCATCCGAAAATGCGTCTCCCGCTCCTTCCGACCCCCCTCCTGGGCCGTCTTCACCCCCGCAGCCCACCACACCTCCGCCGAATCCTCAACCATCGCAACCGCCCCCAAGTCCTTCGCCTTCAAACCCTCCGCCTCCGCAACCCTCGACCCCACGGCCGCCTTCCCCGAGTAACCCGCAGCCGCCTCCCCCTCCTTCTCCCTCTTCCCAAGCCCCAGGTCCCACTCCTCCTCCTCCTCCTTCGGAACCCTCATCTCCTCCGCCCAATCCTACCCGGACCGCGGGTTCGGATAACAATACAACCATATTCATCACCTCCACCGCTTCAAGAGCACCGCCACCTGGCACTGGAGTGCCCAATTCAACCGGATCTGGAACACCATCGGTGCTCCCGCAACCATCCACCGGTAGTTCAGGCTCGGGAGGCCTGTCAGCTGGTGGCACTATTGCCCTCGCCGTTGTCCTTCCCGTCGTCTCGGTGGCGCTGATCATTCTTCTCATCCTATGGTGGTGGAGGAAACGGAAGGCTAGAAAAATCGCGGAAGAGGAACGGAAGCAAGAAATCGAAGAGTATCGCTTCAACCCAAACAACGATCCCCTCTTGCCTGCAGTGGGTAATTTCGATGATGGCTCGCTCCCGAAAGATGGAAACAACGGAGGATATCGCGGTTGGGGCACAACCAACGCTACCTCTCGGAAGCTGTCAACCAATCTATCAAGCGGCGCTGGCGGAATAACCGCCTCAGATAATGGCAGCAACCCAGGCCCTCCGAGACCGGTATCTCCTCTGGACGACTCCATCCCCTACGAGGATGACCACAGGCCCGTATCGGGTGACTATTCAGGGCTTGACCCCGCTGCTGCCGGTATGCTCGCTCACCCTAACAGTAACCCCAACGCCAACTCTCGCGATATCCGCCGCGGCGCATCGAATGCTTCATCGGCTTACTCCAATGCGAACCGTTCGGACGTGTCGGATGATCTCCCTATACCTGGCGGCGCGCCCGGCACGGCCCAGTATTATGATGACCCCTACTACACTGACGGAGCTGGGCAGCCCGGCGGTGCGTTTGCGGAAAATCCATATAACGCGCCTCCCGTGATCCGCGATGTACAGGCAAGACGGAATACGCGAATCGAAAACCCGTCCGTA